TATAGAAGATATTGTTTGAGCTCAAATAATTGATAAAATTAGGTAACAATCACTCACAAAAATGAGCAAGAATACAAGCATGGTCTTAACAGAAAAGCTTTCCATCCCTAGTAAGAAAAGGGAATTGACTTTGATGATACAACAAAAATAGCTTTTACCAACGTTAAAATACAAGCTAGGTCCTAAAAGAAAAAACATTTTCAGCTCAAAACCATTCATTCACTTTGGGATATTTTTCCGAATTGACACTTAAAAGACTCGGTTTTTTTTTTCTGTTGGTGATAGTCTAAGATTATTACAAGGTAGTATTTGTTCAGAATATTTCATAATCATTGACAATGCACGTAACCTAGAGACGTAACTGCTCTCAAACCCAGAACCTATAAAGAGAACAATACTTCCTTTAATTACTAAAACTACTTGATAGGTTCAACAGGAGTCAGCTTTGTTGCTGACCATATGAGCTTGATGAATGTGATAGAATAAGAACAAGCTAGGCTGTTCTTATGAACGTGCCTATGTTTTGTTTTTTTCTTGCATTTCTAGGGCACATGCCCTCCTCTCCCATTCAAAAAAAGAAGAGGGTACGATTCAATCTATTTGCTTTATATGGAGAAACTTAAGAGACAATGTTAAATAAATAAGGACCAAAAGATGTGGTGGCGCTTAAACTTTATATAATTGCGTTTTAATCCAGTACTAAGTGCATGGCTCACAAATTTTCCGATCATAACAGCCAGCAGAGTAGACCACAGTGGTAAAAATTTCCACTTATGAGCTGATGTATGTGGGTCTGTCATCTTAATACAAACTTATCTCATTACCATTCAGATTAAACTTCCAAATTTAGGAAATATTCCATCGATTTCTGCCTTTACTGTCAGAAGATAAGGTTGCTAATTGTTTGGTGCAGGCATCAATGAATTATCATCATGATTCATCCCCCCTTATACAGGTTTTAATCATCATGGAAAAATTCAAACACTTTTTTCATAAGGTGCCAATGGGGTTTGAAGCAGATTTACAGAAAACAAAGGGTTTATTCATATATAGGTCTTGCACTTCAATAGAACACATAAACCTAACATTAAGCATCATTAATTCCTTCACTAAGAACATACATAATACAAATTAAAACCTTCCAATTATATAGACTTTAGAAATAAAACTTAACAAAACTATATATATGAATATATAGTTATGTTCTATTGGAAGAATTATGAGGTGAAGAGCACTCAGAGACTACCTCGGTTTCAATTTCCTTCCTATGGAAATTCCTATGGCAGCCACAGGCGGCACAAGTGAGGGCACCGCTGGTTCCTTCGTCTCCGCTGGCCATGAATTCCCGGCAACCGTCTACGACATAACCTCCGACGCTGGCGGCGTGATTCCTTTGGCACTCCCCATATCTCACACTCCTTATTGTGGTGGTGCTTCTTGCTGGCTCCTTCCTTCTCACTACAACTTGTCGCTTCCTCATTGTCTGCTCCTTAATGTGAGCAAAACCCTCAAACATATAGAAAGAGAGGCAATAGTTTTAGTGTTGGATAAGGTTATTGCCAATGCCAAGCCCTAACCCTAAGGTATACATGAAAAACTTTCTTATGGGCATAATATATAATAACATTCACCATGTATTATTATTTTCAATTTTTTACTTCTCATAAATGTTTTTCCCCTTACCGGTAATAGAAGTTATTACTATTAAGCTCTGGCAAAACCCTAAAATGATGATAAAAGCTTTTAATTTGTTTCAAAACCAGTGATTGGTCTTAAATGGAATGAACAGCTTAGCTTTAGCTGCTTTAAACCGAAATTAGAATGGTGTGGCCCCCTAAACTGATGTTAATAGCCATTTGCTTTGTTTCTCTGTTAATTGATGCAATACCAACAACAATTGTCTCTACCTGATCAATAAACGTGCTAGTATCCGGTCGTATTTGTAAGCCTTGCCAAACCTTTACGCAAATAAACAACTTTATTTTATTGGATAAACAACACCATCTCACAGTAAAGTTTGGGTAAATTTCTATTTTCACCATTGAATTTCAAAAAACTATAAAATGGTCACTCAACCGTTTTCGAGGTAACCACAGTCGAGGGTGGTAGAAAACATATCACTGTCTTATTGGTTTAGAAATAAAGGAAAATATGATCGAATTTAGGCCTTGGGAAAAAAACCAACATCCAACTACCGAGTCAAACAAAATGAAAATTATGATTTTCATGTTAGTACCAAAATGATTTTCCATAAATCAATTTAGTCCTTAAAAATGTTTGTATGCTTAATTGAAGGCATAAATTATGTCTGATTGATTTGAAATTTTGCATGCTGATTTAATATAACTTAAATTACAGCTTAGAAAATTTATATTAAATTTGGAGTATGTTTCGTTATGTGAAATGACGTTTTTCCCTTGTGTATGAAATCAGATTTCATGTAATTTCTATGTATGTTTTGCCATCGACATGCCATGCTTATTACGATCTTTCGTTGTATGTTTTCTAATGAATGGTTGAATGTTAGAAAAACTTAACGATTCATATCAGTGATTTTGGTGATTAATATAATTTTTGATATTTGGGTCAGGTCACTTTGATCGAGTCTCTCTCTATATGTTGGCATGTAGATATATCATTGTGTGAGTGACCTACTCTTAAGCTCATGTGAAGCCTAAGTGTATGACATTAAGATCAAGTGGTTTATATAATGTCTCTCTAAGAAAAATATCCAGGGATAATTTGAGACTTGTAGGAATGGGTTATATAATGTCTCTCTAAAAAATATTCCGGGATAATTCAGACCGATAAGCCTTTATTATGTCCTTTATAAGATTGTGACGAAGATAATAGTCAATCAATTGAAACCTTTGATTCCCCAATGGATATCTCAGAATCAAACCAACTTTGTTCCAGGCAGGTCGATCAAGGGAAACATTATAATATCATAAGAGATTATGCATTCCATGCGAATCAAGAAGATGAAAAAAGGATTCATGGCCATAAAGATAGATCTTGAAAAGGCATACGACCGGTTAGAATGGTCATTTATAGACGATACCCTCAAAGACATTGGAATCCTTGAGAACTTATGACTTTTGATCATGCGTTGTGTTTCATCAGTCTCGACACAAGTTTTATGGAATGGGGCAACATCAGAACAATTTAAACCGACAAGAGGAATAAGAGAAGGAGACCCTATTTCCCCATATTTATTTGTAACGTGTATGAAAAAACTAACGCAAGCCATCCAAAGGAGCGTTGCAAAACACGAATGGTTGCGGATAAGCTTAGGACGAAATGGACCACCAATATCACACCTTTTCTTCTCTGACGAAATGATGCTCTTTACCGAAGCTACAATGGAACAAGTTACAAACATCAAAGAAGTATTGGAGAAATTTTGTGAAGCTTCGGGCCAAAAAATAAGCCTTGCAAAAACAAACATGTTCTTTTCTAACAACGTGGAAAATCAAACATATTGGACATAAGCTCACATTGTGGTTTGTAGTGACAACAAACTTTGGAAGGTACTTGGGCGTACCCTTATTACACAACCGAGTCCCAAGGGAGACATATCAACACCTCGTGCAAAAAGTAAGAGATAGATTAAGTGGATGGGTGGCGAAAAGTTTATCGTTGGCCGGTCGAATAACGCAAGCTAAATCAGTGTTAACGGCCATTCCGTTTTATACGATGCAATCGACCTTGCTCCCAAAAGGAATATGCGATGAAATTGAGAAATTAATTCGCGGATTCATATGGGGTAAAACAGAAGCTCGACAAGGCACTAGCTTGGTAAACTGGAACACAGTGGGCAATCCTTCGATAAAAGGAGGATTGGAATTCAAATGCCTTGAGAAACAGAACACTGCTTTCCTCATGAAAATCGGCTTTTAACTTTGTTCGCCAATCAAATCAGCTATGGGCACAGGTCCTACGCACCAAATATAGATGGGAAGGAAGTGTACCCGAGGAGATACACCGACGAAACTGCTCACGTTTATAGAAAAATATCAGCACAATATGGAGCGATGTATGCTCTAGTTTGGTCTGGACAATAGGAGATGGGAAAACAATAAACTTTTATAGAGATCCGTGGCTAAACGAAACTGGACCTTTGAAGGATCACGTGATGGACGCCAACATAGTTTCGAATCTACCAGAAATAACAGTAATTGGAATGGTAAACGAACATAGATCGTAGAAGTGGCCATTACTTGAAAATGTACTGCCACAAACTATAGACGTAGGTTAATGTTAAAGATGACCCCCAAACAGGTATAATCGATGGATGGCCTAGGCTGGAAGTGCAACCCGAATAGACAATTTTCTGTTAAATCCGCATACGAGATTCGTTCAGACTATGAAAGGGGATCAGCCGAGAAAATATGGAGCTCTATTTCCAAATATAGTGGAATACAAAGAGTGAAGATCTTCCTCTGGCTGGTCGCAAGTGACAGAATCCTTACGAATAAGGAGAGAGTGAGACGATATATGAGCACAAATCCAGGCTGCGAAGTTTGTAACGCATGCGTGGAATCGATCGAACATCTTTTTCGCGACCACCAGCACGGGAAATTTGGAAACGGCTTATAAGACCCGATAAACTCAATGAATTTATGAGTATGAACATAAAGGAATGGTTACTAACCAACTTAGAGAAGCCAAGTTACTTTGTGAAAGAAGACGAGAACTGGGACCTACTATTCAGCGCACTACTTTGGGTTATTTGGAAGCAAATAAACCCATTTACTTTTTCTCAAGGTGATGAAAGACACATCCCAATACTCGAATAAGGAAAATTAATGCAAGTGGAAAACGCAAGAGCCAGGGGCATGACAAGAACAATAATGAACACTAGAGACAGCTAATGCAGGAAACTGTAGGAAGCACAACCAGAAGACTGAATCAAAGTGAATACTGATGGAGCGAGGGATCACCAGGATAGTTATGCATCATGTGGGGGTGCTATTAGGGACAGTAATGGTGAACGGATAATGGGATTCTCCAGAGCCATTGGAATATGTTCAGTGATCGAGGCAGAGCTGTGGGGAGTCTTTGAAGGCCTTAAACATGCCAGACGAATAAGAGCGAGGAACATAGCAATCGAGATTGATAATATTGAAGCACACTCCATGCTAACTCGGAGACACCAAGGTTTAACAGCACCTTCGATACTACACATATGGGAGCTAATGGAGGGGAACTGGTCGGTAACACTGTCATACGTTCCACGAGAAGCAAACAAGTTGGATGATATCATGGCGAAACTAGTGCAAAAGGATGACTTTGCCGGAAGAATTTTTGAGAAACCTCCGGAGGCAATACGGTCGATACTTCAAGAAGACAGACTTGGTCTGATGGCTGGAGATTCACGATAGGTTATGTAGACATTAATTTTTTCATCTTTTTATTAATATTATTATTGTTATTATTATTATTATTATAAATATTATTATTATTATTAAATAAAATATATTACAAATTAATCAGACCCAGAAGGCCCATATACAAATCCCAGAGCCCAAAGCCGTTGCAGACCATATCCAAGAGGTCCAAGCCCAAGTGGAGACCCAACCCGAATACAGAGTAAACCCTAGGGTTTCACACTTCTTAGCTCTAGCTGCCTCAGCTTACAGCCGTCAGATCTGACCTTGATCCAACGGCCTAGATGGTTTCAGCTTGAAACCCTAGGGTATCATAACCCTAGGGACCACGCGGCGCCGCCTCTGCCAGATGCCTCATCCAACCGTTGCCGACACTCCGACTCTGCCACGCCCAACCCTTGCTGAAGACTCCAGAAGCAGCCCCACGTCGAAGCCTTATGGTGAGTCACCACCATAGCTTGGTGACTCACCGAAAGTCCCCACTGGAACTGGTTCAAAGGGCGTACCTCCATGGCTATAAAAGCCATCGCACCTGCAAAGTGCAAAGAGAAAAAAAGAAAGGAACAAGAGCAACCAACCAAAAAAAAAACGAGGTAACCAACAGCAAACACGAACCCACAACCAGCAGTAAACCAAAACAGAAAGAAAAAAAATGAGAGAGCTTACCGAGGAGACCACGCGGTGACCGGAGACGCTACGAGCTGCCAAAACCTTCGAAATACCGAAGGTATTATTGTAGATCTACTCCGATTATGAGCTTTATAGGAAAAACTAAGGTCGAATTCGACCTTAGAAGGTTCAAGGCTTCATTTTGGGTATATTTGTAATTTTTTGGCCACCATGAGTGGTGGCCGGCAGCGGATATCGTCGCCGGAAACAGTGGCCAACGGTGGTCGGCCTTCTTCCGAAGGTTTAATATCCATAGCTTCTCTCTTTAATGAGAGAGAAGCAAAATAGAGAAAAAGAAAAAATGGCCCAAAAGGGCCGGTTTTAGGCATTATATACACCTCCCCGAACGATGTCGTTTTGGGGGAGGGGTGCGTTCGTAATTTTGTATATTGGTAAATCCTCTTCGTGGCCATTCATATTCTATAAACTTCCATTTTAGTCACTAAGTGATTTTTTATACGTTTTAATTTTGTATTCTAATTTTGTTTTATTTATAATCTAGTCATTAATCTTAGTTATATAATATTTAGGATAACTACTCATTTTAGTATTCTATAATTTCAATAATTTATATTTTAGTTACTAAATTAATATATTCTTGGTAAAATAATATGATTAGTCCCTTATAATTTTTATAATTTATATTTTAACCCAAATTAATTAAATAAGGCTAAATTACATTATTAGCACTTAGATTTTTTTTATTCGAGTTAGAGCCTTTAATTTTAATAATTATTATTTTAATCATTAATTAATAATTAAGGAATAATTACAGTATTAGTAATTATATTTTTAAAATAATTCGAATTATGTTCATTAATTTTGATAATTTACATTTTAATCTTGTTGTTTAATTTTATTTAATTACTATTTATTTGCATTTTATTTTTATTATTGTCTTTTATTTTTCAATATATTTAAATTATTACTTTAATTATTATTTTATTATTATTTTCGTATTAGTCATATAAATATATATATTTGTTTAAACAATAAATTATTTATTTTTAATACCAAGAAAAGAGCAGTCTTAAAGCAACTAGATGTCTTATTCTGGTATTTTAAAAATAAATAAATATCTTACTTATAAAAACAAAAAAAAATACATATTGTTTTATTTAAATTATTTTCTTAGGAAAAATTATTATTTTTTTTAATATTTATTTATTTTTCAAATATTAAGAAAGGACAGTCTTAAAGCAACTAGATGTCATTTTTTGATGTTTTAAATAAATAAATATTTTATTTATAATTTATAAAAATTATTTAATATCTTTTTCTTCCTTGGAAATATCATATTGAATTGAAATAACACGATTGTAAATTAAATTCATATTCGAATTCTTAAATTCTATTATTAGAGACAATTTATAATCAATATGTACCAATTTTGGGCGTTGTAGGGTGCTAATCCTTCCCCAAACGTAACCGACCATGAATCCCTTTTTATTTCTAAAAAGAATGAATTTTTGGTTAAATACAGACCAATTTATCTTTTAAATGATGTTTTCTTAAAAACTCTTTTAAAAGATGATTTTTAGATATTCGACCTACCTAACCCAAAAAGGTTGATGGCGACTCTCAAAACATTTTTAAAATCAAAATCATTTTTTATTCACATTAATTTTCCCGCCAAGTAAAATTTCGTGCCCGGGCAAAAACCGATTACGACAGCTTGGCGACTCCGCTGGGGACCCTGGTCAAACCTAAGTCAATTATATATTTTCTCTATAATTAGAAATTGAGAATCCAATTTTATTTAATTTATTATTCTTTTTATTTCTTTCAATTTTTTTATATACTCTTGTATATTAAATTACTTCTTAGATATTAATCTTTGTGTGAACATTTCTCCTCACACACAACACTTGCATTTGCATAAACATAAGCTCTATACTCGAGCTCTGTCCCTTAAGTGAGAGTGAAAGCGACGTCTTCATGAGAATTTAGTCTCTGTGTCAGACCTAGCAAGTAACTTTCGAGGTTCATATGCTCTATGTCTTCGTGAGAATTTATTCTCCGTGTCAGGCATAGAGAAATGTATCCCCTCGAATTGAACTCGATCCGCTTAAGTCTGTAATGGACTAGGGTTGAGGATTTGACAGCCCAAGGGGGCACCAACAAGGACAGTTCGAGTACTTGTACTCATAGAACCTTAACCTTGCATATAATAAACCTTAGAAATTCTCGTGATCTAAGACAATACTGAAACCCTATTGATAGGTGTACACAAAGGAGAAATAACCTCTAGCTTTTAATTTATTTAATTTATTATTTTTCTCTCTGAATAAATGTCTGCGAACTAGTAATCATGCTGTTAGATTTATTTTTCCAAGCAAAGCATGGAACTGGAAAGCATGAGGTTAGGATTTATACCTTGGTAGATAGAATTTTTTTCTTTCCATTAGTGGTACTAACCATTTTTATTTTTCAAACATTTTGTTTTGCTCTAACTTGTTTATATTGATTTCTTTTGTTTGCATTGCATGATCATGGCATAACCAAAAGGTGTTGACTTGAAAGACTGTTCATCAAATTGGAAAGTTTTCATAAATGAACAAAAAGTTTTATGATCGAACAAAATATGACGCAGCCAAGGAAAGACATCCTAAGGAAACTGCAAGGATAGAAGCGAGCTATACACACAAAGATCATGTTATATTAATACCAAAAGTATTCCACAAAGATCCTGTTAGATTGATACCAAAAGTATTCTACGACAAGAGTATCAGTCAGGGCATTCAGAATAAAGGATGCTTTTATGAAGCTCAAGCATGTTATTTGAAGGATCAAAACAAGAAATTGAACACAAAAATGGAAACCATGTATGAAGATTTCCAAAAGAACAGTCAAGCCTTTTAAAATGCTGGCATAGGAAATACCCCACAAGAGTGGATAACAGGGGTCACCAAGCTGAAAAGGAACTGCAACATATACGAAGATCTTGTCCAAGAACTTCTTGAGCACAAAGGTTCTCTTACAAGGGAAAATGAGCAACTCCGAGAATTGACACAGAAGATGAAGGAAAAAGAGAATGGCATGGAAGAAGCCGCAGTCCCGACAAGCAATATGGCAGATAAGTTGATAGACTTAACTAATTTTACAAAGAATTGAAGCAGATTGATAACTCAACTTTTGAGCATGAATGGAAACTAACTTGGCTTTAGAGAAGTTAGGAGGGAAAGTTATCCCCTATATGTAAAGTTTTGTTGAAGTTAGGACTGAAAGATGTCCTCTACATGTAAAAGTTTTGTTTGATGCACGGAAACTTTTGTGTTCAATGAAATCTATTCTAAGATGATCACTCTTGAGTAACACCTTTTCATACATGCATTTGCATTATGTATCTTTGCATTTTCATTTTGCATTTATACTTTTATGTTTGTTTTTGTATTACAGAATTTTCATTCTTATTGTTACATTCATATATTTACATTTGCATTTGCATTTTGCATTTTTACATTTGTATTTACATTTTCATTTTTGCATTTGCATCTTTGCATAATTACATTTTATTTCAAACTATTTTACATACATTTAATCATGAAAACGTGGAATAATTCATGGAGAATTCCATGACAGAATTTCCGAAATCAAATTGGGGCTAACTCGATCTTCCTAAAGAAGGATAAGAGCCATGAATGAGATTTTAGCAAGGGTTGGTAGAATTGAGAAACTGCAAGAGCAACTTATCAAGACTCAACAAGAAATGATTGATCATGCAAAAAAAATTCCAGGCTGATTCAAAAGAACAAATGACCATGTTAATGGAGATGGTGAATGATGTGATCCATGGAGGGAAACCCTTAGAGGATCCCACTGTGAAGGCTATGAATAAGGTTCTAAATGATAATGATGAGTTCAACGTGATAGTGTCTGATGATCAAGAACCTATTAGTGAGAATGGTAATTCAAGACAGCTTCAAGATTTGGTCCCAAAAGGTATTGGTGAATTAATGGTAAATGAAGAATCAATGAAAGAAAAAAGTTTCGGTGTAAGAAATAAGCTTTACTCAAAGAAAAGGGGCATAGAAAAGGGTCAAAGGCTTATCAAGAAGAAAAAGAATGTGCAGGGTTTTCAATTTCCTCCCTTCCACTTTTCAGGTGAAAATTGCATTAAAAAATGCTCTCAGTCAGATTAACTACTCCGCGACTTGTTCAGCCACTGTGACCTATAAGGAGGTTCCTTGGATAAACCAGACTGGAATTCCAAATTGTTCAACTAAGGTTCCTCGTAACCTTGAGGGAAATTTCCAAGATCCTTTAGAGAAAGCAATTAAAAAATGCAAGGTAAAAGAGGGGGTTAAGGTTCAATGCTCAGAAAT